AAAAAAAAACACTGTCTTCAGCGTACATCAGTCAAAATGTTTACATGCATACGGGCAAGTGTGCAATTACCCTCTAAGAAGAGGTCTTATGACATTTAAGGATTAAATATTCTGAAGTCATGAATGTCATAACTGACTTCAGCTTAATAAAAATGTGAACAGAGCAAATGTATGGGGTATGCCGTGAGCTCTGTTTTACCATATATTTGAAATTGAGACACCAAAACAATATATGCACACACACATCTGGTGTTGGACTGATAAAAGTGAGGACTGAACTGTGAACTGTACAAAAGCAATGAAGGCCCTTGACAAAAAAAATTAAATAAAAGTACAGAATTAAATTCGCGACAAAGACGGGATTTTTTTAATTTCTTGAGTTCTAGAGTCGTACAGTAGTCGGGACATTTTGTATCGGCGTAAGTAGATCGTTACGTTTGGACGAAATAGAGTGAAGTTTCGCCCCAGTGCGTCCGACCCAAAACAAACAAACAAACAAACAAAAAATCAAGATGGCTGAATTCCGTGGCTGGGGGTTTATTGGAAGCATGGAGAGCTTCGAGCCTTCCAAGAGGACTGGCATAATAACACAGATTCTGTTAAACTTTTACACATCAACAAAGAACCAGACCGCACTTCAAATGGCGTTTAGGAAACGACACCAAGAACCAAGTGAATGTGTGCCCACCTATATCAATGGGCTGAAGAAGTTATCCAGATCCTGTGGATACGGTACAGAGTTTGATACCAGCCTTCGGGACACATCTTTCGGTGGACTATGCCACAGGCAAAATGCCTGAGCAAAGGAAACAGTCTTATATAGAAGGCTGCATGCGATGAATCTATGGCTATGGAAGCAGCTGAGAAAGACAGTGGAAACCTACAAGGAAGAGTGGCTACATCTTCAAACACCAGTGGGGAGTAATATGCCAAAGACAGTTCCAGAGCACAAGGGACTTCCCCTTTGCACTCGTGACTTCCCCAATCCAAAAGGGACTTCCTGAACCAGACCTTGTGACCCCGAAACCAAAAAAGGGAAATTCTCGGGATTTCCCCAGTCTCAGTTAAAACTGTGTCTCGCCGGAAGCTTTGAGAAAAAAATGAATCAAATTAACAACTGGCTTAAGTAAATAATATTTAATATAGAGATGTCAAACAAAAGAACTGGAGCTTTGAAGAAACGTGAAAAAATTTATAATTACCTTTATGTAAATAGAGACATGAAAACACCACAGAAATCACAACGCCGCCCTTTCTTCGATTAAAAACAATTAATCCGACTTTGTAAAACAATATAACATTCCATTACCACCAGCTAAACGCAAAAAAACATTCCAAATCCGAACTACAGAAACTGGGAAGTGGCGCCCACTTTCTTTGCCGACGACTTGATACACTTCTTAGATTTCCACTAAAAATTTATCGAAGACAAGGCGGAAAAGCCCGGAGCTGAAACTAAATTTGGCGTTTTCACATTTGCGAGCAAAAACAACGTGGTAATTTCTGAACTGGAAGTCAAACGTGCCTTGAAGGAACAAATAGCAAAAACATCTTGAAGACGTCGAAGCTGACGAACAGAGAGGCTCGGGCTGGGTGTTTTATAAAGTTATTGTGTTTTACATCAACGTGGTTCGCTATAAACCCGTGGGAGCGACTTACATTTCGTTGCCTAAAGAACTAGCTTTTAAGACTGCGATTATTAACGTTCAAAACAAGAATGACTCAGAGTGCATTCGCTGGGCGTTGAGATCTGCTTTAAAGTTATACCCAGACAACGTCAAACATCAGCTGGAAACCAACCCAAATTACAAAATAAACATGAAAAGAACTTCAACGTACACCGCAGACGACGGTTTAAATTTTTAAAAAACATAGACTTCCCCACTCCCTTGTCGCAAATTCCACGAATCGAATCACAGAACAATTTAGCAATGAACGTATTCGGTTACACGGGGAAAGAAGGCGTCTGCATACTTTACACAACTAAACACACAGGCAATCTGATCAACTTACTTTACTTTAGCCGAGGTGAAACAGCTCACTACTGTTAATGGGCAGTGTCGACAAACACGACAGCAAATCATACTGGTGTTTTAACTGCCTTTCTCACTTTCATACTGAACAACGACGGGGAAAACACCAAGAAGACTGTCAAGGAATGGACACGGTGCCTTCTACCCGTATAGGGTCAAAACATTCTCAATTTTGAAAAATTACAAGAACAAGCACGACGCCTCATTCGTAATTTATGCAGATTTTGAGTCTGTTTTAGAGCTTCTCCCACCAGAAGCATTAAACACGGTCAAGGTACAACACCATAAGCCCTGCTGCTATTCTTACACGGTCGT